CGACAACTCCAGGAAGCCGCGGGTCTGGAGCGCTTCCTGCGGGTCGGCAAGTGGGTCGGGGGTGGGGGGCGCACGATGGGATGGGTGGGGCCGGGAGTATGTGAGATGGGGTAGGTACCTGGCTGTGGGCTTCTATAAAAGCTATGCACCTCTCCTGCAGCGGCCCTAGGCCAAAGGTTACGGCCACCTGGGAGCAGAATGAGGGGTGTCAGGTTGGAGACTGAAGAAGCCCAGTAGCTCACACGGAACCATCACTGCAAGCCTGACCTTAGCACTAACTGGGGAGCTGGCCGAGGCTTCTAGCCACCCAGGAAACTAAACTCAGTAAAAGTCCCCACAGGCACACACACATGCGGAGACACTAAAGGAGACCATTCATATTCTTCAGACTCCACCCCGGCTTGGCTCGCTCTTCAATTCCACATCCTATTCTTCCCCTTCCCCAGCCTTGACAAGACCAGCAAAGACCAAACCCCCTACCCTGCAACCGGCAGATCTGGGCACCATGTTTATCCCATAAACAGCTTTGGAGCACTTCTGCCTCTTAGAGTTTCCAAGTTGTTCTAGCCCCAACAGGTTTTTTTTTGTTTGGTGGCTGTTTTCAGCGGTTTGTTTGTTTTGAGACAGGATATTGCTATATGGTTCAGGCTGGCCTCGAACTCCAGGCCCGGTTAGGCCCCTGGGAGCCCAGAACTACACACTGCAAGCCAGACTCCTCCCAGGCCTGTCCAGCAACACCCACCTGCAGGGCCTCACAAACCAGCTCCACATCTAGTACCTTCTCCACAAACTCCAGGCACAACTGGGAACAGAAATGGGTGTGAGCTACAAAGGTGTCCCGAGTCGCACCCCAGAAGCAGCAAGCAGGCTTGTCGTTGGGAGCTGCCCAGCCCAGCTTGAAGTCCAGATTTTTATTTTTATTTTACTTATTATTTATTGAGACAAGGTCTCACACTGTAATTCAGGCTGGATTTGAAATCACTATGTAGCCCAGGCTGGCCTCAAACTCATGATAATTCTCCTGCCTCAGCCTCCCCATGTGCTGGGATTACAGGTGTGCAAAAGTCCAGATTCTTGACGGCCCTGCATTAACCAGATGCTGGGCCCCGTTTTACGTGGCTCTCTTCTATTCTCACACCTCCAGCCTAGCCACATCAAATGTCTCACACTAATGACTTTGGTGACTCTGACTGTAATAACATCTTCCCACTTCCCTCTGACAAAATCCAACACAAATGTTTCCTCCTTCAGGAATTCTTTGCCCACACGGCCTCAGCGTGGCTTTTCCTCATCTATCACACTCTGCTACCAGGTTAAGTGTTTGCATTTCCATGTTAAGCGCCTCTCGGGGACCAGGCTGGTTTGTCCTTATGCCTTTATCACTACCCCGTGCCTGCCCAGCACACACAGGATATGTAAAAACCCGGTACATGCAGGCACATGAATATGCCCTGCACACATGGAGAAATATCCATGCTTACACCTGTGTGTGGCTTGTTCTCTCCAGGTCAGAGTGTGTGCGAAGCAGGGTGTGAACTGAGCCCGTGAGAGACAAGAAACAGGGCCTGGCATAAGAACCCACCTCTCGCAGTTCCTCCAGCCCATACTCCACAGCTGCCGTCAGCACCTCCAGCACCTGCAGCAAGGGTGGTTGAGGAAGCAGAAGGGAGTTTCCCCTGCCCACAGGTCCACAGTGTAGCAGGTGGACTCCTGCACCCCAGCCTATCCCGCCCTGGCCCTGCTCAGGGTGCTCACGGAGTGGTGGTGCAGCTTGACACTGTTGGTGTACAGGAACTCCAGCACTGCCAAGAAGGCTTCCGCTGGCACCGTGCTCAGCACCACGGCTCTAGGCACCTCAGGGCCTGACTCTGTGCCCAGAAGTCTCTGGAAGAAGTTGCATCTACAAGCCAGCAAGCACTGGTGGGCAAATACCTCCTGCCGTTCTTGACCAACCACAAAGCAGACATCACTGTAGGAGAGAGAGGCAGAGCCAGGGGATAGGAGTCCAGGGCACAGCTTGGACTTTGCTTGTGCCCACTCTGGGTCTTAGTTTCCTTATTTGTAATGTAAGAGATGGGGTTTACCCTTTCAGCAGAAAGTCATCTGGGACACAGCTCTGAGTTCTAGTTCCAGCTCCACCCTTTGGTACAACAAGCAAACGACTATCTTTAAATCCCAGGTTTCTCTGCTCATGACTTCATGTCTCACAGTAGGAAGCTGTGCTCAGTGCCTGAGGGCTGATGCAAACAAGGCTGATGCCCCCTCTCCTGTCCTCCTCTGATTTGAGTCAAGGGAAAGGAAGCTCTTCTTGGCACCTCCTCCCCTGGCTGCCAACTCAGCTTTTTTCAGCCCTCCTCAAGGCAAGAGGGTGCGGGGATGTGGGGTGCAGGGAGGGCATTGACTGCAAACAGATATGGTAGTGATGCATCATGATGAGGCCCAACCACATTTTCCGTCTTCCTGATCATTTCCGGCCTTAGCTTCTGAACGATAGGGTAGGAGACAGGAAAAAAAGCTTGTGCCTCCAAGTGGCTCCTAATTCCAGATCCAATGCTGAGGTTTCCCACTACTCAAGCCAGACTGTTAACCCCCAAAGAAGCAGGATTATGAGTCACCAGCCCTTGGAGACAAGTCTAGATCTGAGCAGTGCGGACAGGAAGCTGCATTCGGGATCTCCTGATCAGCATCTTAGGCAAGCAATAAGCAGCACCCTTGAACTACTTCCTGTCTGGGACTCTGGCTCAATCCCTTGTGCTTTGTTCCTCTTGTGAATCACCAGTTCTCAGAACAGAGTCATCTGCTCCTCTGCCCCTTCAAGGAGGGAGCCCCAACACCTAGCCGCAGGCATTATGGAGCCAAATTATATCCCACCTCCCGGGGTCTAGGCACTGAGGGCTCTTTTGTCCTCTGTGAAGAGGAGCCAGCCAGTGACCCAGAGAAGGGTCTGCCTTGCCTGAGCTCATACAACAGTGTCAGGCTCCAGCACCCACCACCCACCACCTCTGATTCTCAGGATGTCATGGACACAGCAGAAAGTACAGTAACCACCCTCTACACTAGACTTTCCCACAGACGAGGTCACCAGGGACAAGGGACAAGTCTCATTCCCCACCACTTCACCCAGCCTCCTCAGAGGGACAATCCTCATTTGCCCACAGGGCCCATTCCCTCACCTGTATTGGCGGTTGTTGACGAGGCTTCGGAGGGCTGTGGAAAAGGGCGTAGCCTGTCCGTGCACGACCAATCCTGGGGTCTCCATGGGTGGGGCAGAGGGGATGAGACAGAGTGGCCCAGGAGGCCTGCTGCTGTGTGTTCCTCTCAGCCAGGCCTTGAGGAGGTGAGGAGACTAGAAAGGCCTGACAGGAAGAGGCAGGAGCCCAGGAGACCTAGTAGCTGAGAAGCTGCAGTTTAAGGAAGAAGAAGCCCAGGTTCTTTAAAAGACATCAGAGGCCTGCTGAGGAGGCCACAGCTTCAGGAATGGGACAAACAAAAGGGGACCTAAGAGAGGCCAAGGCTGGAGCCAGGCTGGAGCTGACACAGAGTGAAGAAGGAGGTCTAGGCTCTGAGCCTGCTCAAGCAGCCAGGGGGTGGGAAGCCTGTGGGTTTCCATGGAAATGAGCTGGGCCTGAGGAGGCTCCGCCTACCTCTCCACAGGCCCAGGGGAAAATTTCAGCCTGTAGAGGGGCCCTAGGAAGCAGTCTGAAGGTCCTAGCACTGGCTCCTCCTGCCTGTGCCAGTTGAGTTCAATTCCCCCGCCTTCCTACTTCTCATAAGTTAGAATCAGGTGAACTAGGATGGGGAACCCTACATCAACTGGTAAAACCCTCACCCACATAGATGATTTTCAGGGCCAGTATTTAGCTTTAGAGACAGCAGTCAGCCTCCCCCCCGCAAAAAAAAAAAAAAAAAAAAGACAGTGGTCGCCACTCTCAGAGGTGGATCAGGTGAGGTGTCAGCTCTGACATGTCGAAACTAAGAGCCTCTGGCATCCCTGAGATGCAGCTGCTTGTGGAGAAGGGGTAACCTAGGCCCTGAGGCACATAAGAGCTGTGGCCAGCTGGGGACAAGCCCCAGGCACTTGGGTTAGCAAGGGTCAGGAGACTGGACCTGAGTTTGCCACTGGGTCAGGGCTGTATCAGGCCTGGGTCCTCCCAGCTGAGCCAGTGGCCTCCCCTCCCCCGCACATAGCCCTGAATTGAGGAAGTCATCCAAGCCCCACCCTCGCTCTGTGCCTGAAGCGGAAATGTTTGTCCTTGTTGAAACTGATGGGGAGACATAGAGCCATGACTTGCTCCTTCCTGTGAGCCCAGATCCTAGATTCCTGAGCAGCCGCCTCCGCCTTCTCAAGGTTTCCTCATATCACAGGTCCCTGTGACTTGCTCACAAGCTGCCAGTCATCCAGCCATTTCACAAAAAGCCCTGGATGGAATGCATTTCTGACCAGGGCTCCTGGGCCTAGAGAGGTGGAATGCCCCTGAGCTCCTCACCCCTGCAGCCACCCCTCCTGATCACTCAGGGGCTGCCCCTCAGCAGTTGCTCACGGTAACACTCCCGGGTTACACCACAGGCTGACTGGAGCAAGGGACTCTGGGAGGGAGGAGTGCTCGCCCTGCAGCCCATGGCAACTGCACAACACTGCCTTTCCCCGCCCACCCCACCAATTTCCCAGCCAAGAGACAGCTGCGGAGCCAGCCCAAAGAGTGCTTGGAGGCCAAAGGCTGCAGGTGACTCAGGTGCCTGAGGGAGTTTCGGGAGCGGAGGGGTGAAGAGGGGTGATCCCAGAAGTGATTCTGTAGGAGGTAGAAGGTTGAGTCAGAGGCTTCATGGGTCCCCTGCCCCCGCCTCAGCCTGCTTTGGGGATCTTGTGTCCTTCCTAGAGCAGATAGAGATGGATGACTGGATTCTATGAACCCCAGAGCTGGCTGGATTTGTGGGAGTGAAGTTGGGTTTGTCTATTCCTCCTGGTTAAGGGTTGGAGGCTCCACTGCTACTGTCCAGGCTGAGCCACAAGCCAGCTTCATCTCCCCTTTCCGTGGGTTAAGTCAGGCAGAAAGGAGAAATGGGAAGAGTATTTAGGGTTATTTAGAGCTCACCCAGCCAACTCCATGGTACCCAAGGGAAAGTAGAACTCAGAATCAGACACTAGCATCCCTCCCCAGCTTGCCCCTAACAGTCCTTAACCCTCTAAGCACCTAGGAAACCAGGCAGCCCCAGTCAATTTGATCCACTTATCCCAAAAAAAAAGGTAAGAAGGGACAGGGCAGAGTGGTGAACCTAGGGCATGGGTGCTACAGCAGCCTGTTTGTTACTGAAAGCTCTAAAAGGTTCACCATCATGGGACAGGGAATAAGGGATAGGGGCATAGGGTGGTACACGCTTGTAGTCTCCAGTCCCTGTGGTCCCTATTGTTTGGGAAGCTGAGGCAGGAGGACCACTGGAGCTCAGGAATAGAAAGGGGTGTGGGTGTATAATGACAACCTGTAATCTCAGCACTCAGGAGGCTAAGGCAGGATGATGAGTCTGAGGCCAGAGTTACGTAGCAAGATTCTGTCCCAAAATAAGGGCTGGGACAGTAGCTCAGTGCAAAAGTGCTGGATTCAATCCCCAGTACCAGAAAAAAGGGGGGAGGGATGTAAATCCCTTGACAGGACTGGTGGTGGGGAAATATGGCCACTGAATGCCATCCTGAGTGGATTTTCCAGCCTGCAGGTCCATGGCTGGCAGGGCTCTGACCCCCGGACGTCAGGAGGAGGAGTCGACCAAAGATCCAGGGAACAAACTACCACTAGCGCAGCCTGGAAGCCGCCTGCCCAGCATCGATGAGGTCCGGCCCACGGGTGCAGGCCTGGGCCCAGCCTCCCGCCGCGGATCTGTCCTGGGCCTCCCTGCATCCTTCTCACGACGCAACTCACTGGCAGGGCCAGGCTCTGGGCCTGGAGGTCGGCGGCCATCCCTGGGACCAGTGTCCCCTCTAGCTTCGAGGGTCAGTTTCTCAGGGTTGCCCCTGGCACCAGTCCGTCGGGTGGCACCCTCGTACAGAACAGAGCCTGCGCCCGGGGAGCGCTGGGAGGCTGTGCGGGCCCAGCAGGCCCTGGAGGCAACCTTGAATGCTGGGTTGTGCAACGCACGCTACTCAGGCACCGAGAGCAGGAGGCTGGCCCGAGAGCTGTGCGAGCAGGTGCACGTGCGCCTGCGTGAGTTCAGCCCACCACGGTACAAGCTGGTGTGCAGCGTGGTGCTGGGGCCACGTGCCGGCCAGGACGTGCTTGTGGTCAGCCGCGCGCTCTGGGATGAGGCACGCGATGGACTGGCCTCTGCCTCCTTCACCAATGCCTCCCTCTTTGCTGTGGCCACTGTCCATGGTCTCTATTGCGAATAAGAAGGCCTCTATTCTGCAAAATGATTTATTATTCCAGAAGGAGATGCCCCCTGGGGCTCACATCCCAATAAATAAATGTCTGTCAATAAATAAAAGTAGTCCATAAATAATGCCCCCTAGCTGGGGACTAAGGCTCAGGCTTATCTCGGAGAGAGGGTAAGAAACAGTGAGGAGAGGCTACCCCCAACTCCAGTAAAGCTGGTCCCTGATTCCCTGGGGGATTCAGCCCAGAGGCCCCCCCGCCGCAGTGAGGCACCAAAGGGACAGGAAGGGCCACAAAGGAAAGGACTAGAACCTTAATAGGTACAGGCCTCAGGCCTCAGGGATACAGCCATACTATAGGCTGGGGCCTAGGCGGGACTGCGGTCCCGGAGCAGGCGCAGAGCATAGCGGAGTCGCTGTCGCAGGTCTGGGGAGCAGCCCAGCTGCCGGAGGTGGGAAGCGAGGTAAGTGCAAGCACTGCGATTTCGGGCTACAAAAGTCACAAGAAGGGGCTCCCAGCCACTGAGGATCAGCTTGGTGTGGTCCTCATAGAAGTTCACCTATGGACAAGAGGGTGATGGTGACCAGGACCTAGGCCCCAGACACAATTTCCTTCTCAACAGTCTTAGCCTCCCAGAACCTTTCCCCAACTCCAGAATTCGCTCCTACCTGGACAGTACCGTCACTGAACATCATGAGCAGTGCCTGATCGGTCTTAACCCACTGCAGCAGCAAGGGTGGGGCAGGCACCTCTACCTCTTCCACACTGGGTAGATCTCCACCCTGGAAGCAGAGGCAGGGCAGGCTACTGGTCTGAGACAGGCCCTTCCATGTCGATGTCACCCTTCCTTACAGGTTCAAACTCTATCCTTTCACTCCACCACCACCACCACCACCATCACCACGGCCGCCACCAAAGCAATCAGAGGGATCAGCACGTTAGTCCTCAATATGCCACACCCCATCTTACACACCTTCATGAGGTGCTGTTCCATATAAGAGACGAAATACCGCAGGATGCCCAGCTGAGGCTGCAGAGCCCGGGGCACAGCACCCACGGAGAAGGAGAAGTGCTTTGTGCTGGTGGGGTTGTAGTGCACCATCCTGGAAAGGGGGAGGCAGAGGTCAAAAGGAGCTCTGCACCAATGCCCCACCCCGGGAAACCCTAGGTCCCTCAGCCTCAAAACGTGCACCAGGGTGCAGCCCTGCTGGGTACGATAGCCTGGACACCACTGCACTTACTTTCTGTTGGCTGAAAGGGCCATGTGTGTGCCATCATTGAAGAGCACAGCTACGCGGCGGCTGGACAGTTGATACCCAAAGCCGAACTTGTTCGAGTAGTCGACCCATTTGCTGACCCACACCAGAGGCTCCGGCTGTGCCAGTGGGGCAGGGTTCTGTTCCGCTGTCACAGGAGAGGAGGGTGTGAGGACCTGCTCCTGCTACCCCATCCCATTCCCCTTTACCAGACATCAGCCTTACCTGGGGGCATGAAGGCCACACAGTTTCTCAGAGCACAGAGGGCTGACTCTACCACTGTGGCCACAGTCAGGCCTTCTTCAAAACCTGAAGGGAGGGCCGGGGATTTAGCTTAGTGGTTGTGCCACCTGCTTCGCAAGCGCAAGGTTCCAAGTTCCATCCCCAGTACCAAAAAAACAAACCTGAAGGGAACAAGGGGCCCTGAGATTTAGCCATTTAGCCCTCCTGGACACAGCCCATGTCCCTGTGCCAACAGATTCCTTCCCTCTGGTCCCTGGACCAACAACCTCTATAGCACCTCTCATCCTCCCTGACTCCTTACCATCCCCACTGCTGGCCAATGTCCCACGAGGTGAGCTATCTTCAGCTGCTGTCTCTGCCAGGCTCACAGGGGTTGGACCAGAAGCTGCTGGTACCTGGAGGATTAGGTAGGAAGAGAGACTGAGAGAGGCCTCAGAATCCAAATCCTTGGAAGTTCATGGCCCAGCCTTGCCCCGGTTCCCAGGGCACTCCAGGTCAGCCCCAGCTGGCTAATGAGACACAGCCAATTAGGCTCGCACGAGGCTGGATGCTTCATCAGCCTTTTATCCGGGGCTTCCCTCAGCTGCTGGGGTGGGAATGAGTCAGGGGAGAGCGGCCACGTGAGCATCTCACCTCAGGCCTGGCACCCTGATGGCCAAGGGACGTGCGCATGAGGCCGTTCACCAAACAGGACACCTCCTCCCTCTCCTCAGGACGGTTCTTATCTGGGGGAAGGCAAATACAGACCGGTTTCCCACAAGGATGGCACGGAGGTAGGACTTCTCAAGTGCCTGGATGACACATGCTCTCCCCAGGGGCTCACAGGAACCCACACTCTCTCATCCCCAAGACGAATGTGACAAGCAGCTCTACCATTCTGTACCCTCAACCCACTGGTAACCTCACTCACTCTTGTTCTTCTTCCTGCCAAAAAGGCTCTTGGTAACTTTGGCAAACAGACTCCTTGCTGGATGAGGGGGTGTCAGGTCGGGGACTGTCACACAGCTGCTGACAGGGAGCCGGTCGGGGGTGTAGCCCTGGGAGGGAAGCCATGTCAATAGAGAAAAGGCCCCAGGGGTCCCGTCACTTGCCCCATTTAATCCCCTGGGAATATGCAGACTGAACCCAGATGTCTGGGAGCCACAGACCTTAGTAAAGAAGTCATGGCGCAGGATCTGGTCAATAGAGGGGCGGTCTCGGGGCGAGGCTCGGAGAATGGCAGCCAGGAGCTGCCGGGCAGGCAGTGATAGGCTGGCAGGCAGCGTGTAGTGGACCTGCTTGATGCAGCGGTAGGTTTCCTTCAGGTCTGCTGTCTCAAAGGGAGGAGTCCCACAGAGCAGCGTGTACCTGTGGGCCATGGACACAGGAGTCAGTAGTAAAGCAGTAGGAATGCCCATCCATGCAGCCACAACCTGTCTGCCACTGAACCTGGCACTCACATGACACAGCCCAGAGACCACACATCCGCCTCGGGGCCATGGCCTTGTCTCAGCAGCACTTCTGGAGCCACATAGTTGGGGGTGCCACAGATGGTCCTGAAAGAGGATAGAGAGCAGAGGGGAGGGCTCAGACTCAGCCCGGCAGCCCTCCCCATTCCTGCCCCCACTGTGACTGTAGACAAAGCAGCTGCCTGTCACCAAAGGCCAGAGAGCTCCTGCTTGTCCTGGGACAATGGACGCTGAGGATCAGAGCTAAGACCCCGCCCACCCTGCTGGCCCAGCTGCTCCACTGCTCTGCAGGGGAGGTGGAGGCCCTGACCCCCAACCCAGCCCCTCTTCCTGGGCCACGGAGGGTCCATGGCTGGTCCCTTCCCCCACTCCCGTCTGTCAGCCACACCCATGAGGCTGTCACCTCCCATGGTCTGCGCCATAAACACACCAACACCAGCTGTCACATCTCCCCAAACACTAATCAGCCACAAGTGCCTATCTGTGTCATACACACCCAACCACAGTGACCACAGTAGGGTCTTCTCACACACACACACAGGGTATCACACCCTGCCTCTCCCACACACATGCCTGGGCTACGAGCTTCTTCACACACAGGGTTAGTCACACACCTCTGAGAATCCTTAGTCCTCCATGTGTCTCAGGGACTCAGGGTTACCTCCCGAGCTGTGTCACACATTCAACACGACCTTCACCCTGTCCACCTCCATACACAAGCATCACCCCTCCCCTATTTATCACACGCACATCAGGTCACCTTGCTCCCCCACACACACCGTCTGCCACATACACCATCTGTGTCACACACAGGTGGTACGTGACCACCTCTTCCCTCAAACACTCACTTCTTCCTCTGCTCCAGGGGCTCTAACCGAGCTGCAAGCCCAAAATCCCCCACCTTCAGTTCCATGTTCTCCGTGATGAAAAAATTTCCTGGACGGAGACAGCGGTGTGTCAGACTCCTTCCTCCCTCCACCTCCTGACCCCGCCCTGCTGACCCAGAGTCTCACCCAGCTTGAGGTCCCGGTGCAAGATGCCCCGCTGGTGCAAGTACTTGAGGCCAGAAAGGATCTGCCGCAGGTAGTAGCGCACCTCTGGTTCCAACAGGGTATGCCGGGCCTTCCAGATGTGAGCCAGGGACTGTGGAGAGCCGCTGCCTCAGCCCCTGCTTGCCCGCCCTGAGTCCCCCTCCATCTGTGCTGGCTGAGGAAGACAGGGCCCCAGCTTTGGATCTTAAGACCCGCCTTCTCCTCCTAGCCCCTGGCCTGCTGGAATTCATCCCTCCTCACCTTTCGGCTGCAGAGCTCCAGGAAAATATATATGTTGTCAGCATCCTCAAAGTGGTGTGAAAAACTAACGATATGACGATGCTGTAGATCTCGGTGCAGCTCAATCTCGTTGAGAATCTGCAATGGGAGCGCAGGGTCGTCATCCTTCCAGGGTTCCCACGACACTGTCCCCACCCCATCCCTCGTCCGCGGTGCCAGGACCCACCTTCTCGCGTTGATGTGGCTTGGAGACGCGGCTTTGCGGGATGACTTTGACCGCGTAGGCGCTGCCGGTCTCGGAGTCAGTAGCCTCGTAGCAGCGGGCAAACCCGCCCTAGGAGCAGGGGCATCAGGCCGGGTGCCCCACGGAGGTCCCCG